GAGAGAAAGCATGTGAGCAGGGGAGGAGCAGATAGAGAGGGAGACACAGAATCCGAAGCAGGCTCCAGGCTCTGAGCCATCAGCACAGAGCCTGACGCAGGGCTTGAACTCACGAGAGATCATGACCTGAGCCAAAGTCGGACACTCAACCAACTGAGCCACCCAGGTGCCCCTTTGCTTGCTCTCTTTAGCCCTATTTCAGAGCCTCCCCTCTTGGGTTACCCCCACCCCCTATTTTTTAAGGAGGCTTCACGCCTAGCACAGAGCCCAACATGGGGCTTCAGCTCATGACCCTGAGATCAATGCCTGAGCTGAGATCAAGAGTCAAGACACTTAACCGCTTAACCGACTGAGCCACCCAGACGCCCCCTAGGTTTCCCTTTTGCTGCACACCTCCTTAGTGATTGGTGGGGCAATATTTGGCAAAGCCCCTGGTTTGCTGAGACACAGAATCTTCACGTTGAGTGGATCCTACTGACCATCCAGTCTAATCCTCCATGGTGGAGATGAAACAGCCATAGCACGGAGTTCAGTGATTTGCACAAGATCCCCGTTATTTACAGCCTCACAAGGAACTCCAGGTCTATTTTGTATTTTCCCCACACCCACCCCAGAATCAGCCATTTCTCCAAGGGTCTCACAATTTCTTTGATCAGAGAATGGTGATTCAAAGCCAGCATGTGGGTGCTAGATATGGTTGTGGCTGCTGGGGTGTCCCTGCTCCGGGGTCCTCTGAGCGGACAGAGCTAGGGATGGGTGGATGTGTAGGAGTCTGTGTATACCCACATATTTATGTCTATTTCTGTATCTGCTATCTGTATTAAAGTAAACGTGAGTTCACAGGATACGTCCTGATCACCTCTTAGCCTTTCTCCCCTACTTACCTGTATTTCCTCCTGACAGCGTGAAACTTGCCTCCTGTTTCCCACCAAAAGTTTCATTTTGTTCAACCCTATATGTCAGAAGTATTAGAATCACCAACCCACTTCCCTGCGGGAACACACCCTGCGGGTACACACGTACCACCTGGAGTATAGCGCTTATATGCATGCATTCCTTTTGTCTTTAGCCTTACATTTTTCGGTCAAAATACTATTTCCAAATTTATTAGGGCCCAGCCTTTTTTAAGATCACCCGGTTTTGCCCCCATCCACTCAAGTGTAGTCATGTCATTTATTTGTAGCACGGATTCATTTGTCACAATCTGCATTCCATCCTGGATTCCCCCAGCACCCTGGGCAGGAATGTATGTAGATACATATCGGTGTTTCCATGTACGTACTTAGTTCATGTTGCCTTCAGTAAACTTTGTTCTTTGTGGTGGTTAGTTCTCTGGGTTTCACAAACACAAAGAGTCATGTGGCCACCATCACAGAACCATACAGAACAGTTCATGACCCTCATGTTCCCCTTATAGGCTCTCCATGCACATCCCTTTCCCCCTTCCCAACTCCTGGCTGCCATTTTTCTATCCCCTTCTTGTGGTTTTGCCTTTTCTAAATGTCATATAAATGGAGTCATACAATATGTGACCTTTTGGGTGTGGCTATTTTCACTGAGCAAAATGCATTTAAGATTCACACACACCGGGGCGCCTGGGTGGCTCAGTCGGTTGAGTTCAACTCAGGTCATGATCTCGCGGTCCATGAGTTCGAGCCCGACGTCGGGCTCTGTGCCAACAGCTCGGAGCCTGGAGCCTCGTTCAGATTCTGTGTCTCCCTCTCTCTGGCCCTCCCTTGCTTGTGCTCTGTCTCTGTCTTATAACTCTCTCTATTAAGAACAAATAAACATTAAAACATTGGTTGTATACTCATGTATATGTTTATCCACTGTATACTTTTCCACTGGCCTGTTGAAAGATACCTTTGTTGTTTCTAGGTTTTGGCACTATGAGTATAGCCATAGAAACATTCCCATACAGGTTTTAGTGTGGGATTCTCAGTGCAACCTTTGCATAGACGAAGGTTGCAGGATGAGCAGCATTCTTGAAAGTTTGGAGATGTGGCCTACCGACCAAGACGTAAAGCTTTTCATTCATCGGATGGTTTCTTATTTAAAAAATGCAATGATTCGTACAAACCGGAATACAAATTTCTATCATCTGCGTGAGTTATCTGCCATTTCACCACATGATGTAAATAAGATGCTAATAAGGTATTTTTGTTAGCGCTCATGTAATGTAGAACGGGTACCAATGCCTTCCATCTTTATTCTTTTAAAAGATATTTGAATATGATCACAGCGACATCAGCTTGCTTTGTTTTCGAGAGTCTTATATTTTTTGAGTGTCATACTCTTTTTTAAAAAAATGATTGCCGTTCAACATATATGCTGGAATCTATTTTTTATATTGGGATATTTTACACATTGGCAAAACATATTTTAAACGATCCTTATCAAGAAAATTACACATTATTTTTAGAATACGGCTCGGCAAAATCTAAGTTTGCTGACAAGACAACATTTTTCTCAATATTGTCACTATTTGTAACAGTAGACGCGGCAGTTAAACTCGATTATAATTTGGCACATTTTCACCTCATCTTTTTTTTTTTACTGATATAAAAATTCATTTTTAAAGGACAATTTATTTTTAAATGGTTGTGGTATATTTCATAGTCTAAATTTTAAGGAGGTGTAAGAAAAGGCAGGCAGGCATCGCTGAGCAACTGAGACAGATTTGAGTTCTCTTTCCTGTCCCAAGGATGGAAGTCTGAGGTCTCTGGAATATTCTCCAGAGGATACGCCCCTCAGCCCCTCTCTCACCTGTGGGCTGGAGCACCAGACATATTTTTTTTTTAATTTTTTTAAGTATTTATTTTTGAGACAGAGAGAGACAGAGCATGAGCAGAGGAGGGGCAGAGAGAGAGGAAGACACAGAATCTGAAGCAGGCTCCAGGCTCTGAGTTGTCAGCACAGAGCCCGACGCGGGGCTCGAACTCGCAGACCACAAGATCATGACCTGAGCCGAAGTCGGACGCTCAACCGACTGAGCCACCCAGGCGCCCCATTGAGCACCAGATATATTAATGACAAAGATGTTTTAGTGAAAAATTTAGTAACGAGATCATGAGGAGATAAAACTTACAAAGTCACTGGCTTGATGGGTGCCAAGAAAGATCTTGTTTGAAATCTGTCCCAGAGTCCACCAACCATCTAAAATCGGCATCAAAATGAAGGACATAGTTAATGAACAAGTTACTGTAAATTCTCATATATAATCTCCAGTGCTCTTAACAGTCCCCAGGGCATCAATGGTAAGCCCCAGGCTCCCAACAGAACGCACTCCCCAAGCATCCTTAACACTTCGGGGGTTTGCCCCAGAGCCCCTCTGGTCTCTGCTCTGCTCTCAGACCCACAGTTTCCCAGTTTGTTTTTCCACAGCTGGAATCTGCCTCATCATCCAACTCCTTTGGATTGAAGTCCTGACAAAGGTCTCATTTTTTTGTTTTTGACATTTTAATTTATTTTTGAAAGAGAGAGAGATAGAGCATGAGTGGGGAGGGGGCAGAGAGAGAGAGAGAGACACAGAATCCGAAGCAGGCTCCAGGCTCTGAGCTATCAGCACAGAGCCCGATGGGGGGGCTCGAACCCCCAAACTGTGAGATCGTGACCTGAGCCGAAGTCGGACGTTTAACCAACCGGCCCCAGGCTGGTCTCCCCTTTTCAGTCCTGCCCAGACCCTGAGCTTTGAACCTCATCTTGCCAGGGAGAACTTTGGATCCTGGTATGATTAATTAAATGCCAAATATAGGTTGAAAAAGTGACCAATTTTCAAAAGATGTAAAAATATTTTAAAGTAGGTGAGAGATTCTTAAAAACAGCCGTAAGAATCAAGGCACATGCGAATCCCGTGCCGAGACTTTATATTATTGTAGCCATGTTTTTCCTCTCTCGCTGCCATTTTTCTCTATAAAAACCAAAAAAGTTTTTCAAAATAATGTGGGCTTCTCACCCTGTGGTTCATGAACCTCTTAAGAGCCCCTGGTTAGAACCGTATGTCAATAGAATAATCTTCCTCTTTAGTGCTATGTTATTTTACATCGCAAAGAGCTACATTATGAGAGGTGGCCCCAGTGCTTGTCAGACTTCTGCGGGGCGAGGAACAGAACCAAAGGAAGAGAGGTCAACGGAAGGAGGAGCTAGATGCTTTGCAGGCACAGAGCAGGGACATCTAATCCAGGGTTGGAAAGGTAAAAGTGAGGTCCAAGATAACACCTGAAAGATTCACGGGATTTAGCCTGGAAAAATTGGAACACTGAAGGCAATGGAGCTCTGTTTGCAAAACAACATGGTGTGTTGAGGAAGAGCATGGCCCATGAGGCCTCCACTGAGGTTCTGCGTAGAAAGTGATGCAGTAGAGCGCAGTGTGGGGGTGGGGCTGGAGAAGCAAGAGGAACACAGTAATAAGGCCGAGAGGCGGAAGAGGGGGAAGCTGAGTGGGGGCAAATAACAGAACTGGAGACATGGCCTGTCAAGGAGCGTGGCTTTCGCTTCATAAAAGTGATGTGTTGGCTCAGTTGGTTGAGCATCCAAGTCCTTGATCTCGACTGAGGTCATGATCTCACGGTTCGTGAGATTGAGCCCCTGTCGGCTCCGCTTGCACAATAAGTGGGCCTGCTTGAAGTTCTCTCTCTCTCTCTCTCTCTCTCTCTCTCTCTCCTCTCTCTCTGCCCCTCCCTCGCTTGTGCCCGTGTGCTCTTTCTCTTTCTCAAAACAAATAAACTTTAGAAAAAAAGTCCAACATAGACAATGTTAAAATATTAAAACATGGAACTCAGTTCCATAAGTGTACATATTTATGCATGCTTTCCATATTTCTTAAAATAGAATGAGTATTAAAGTTTTAGACTTCAGCTTAGAAATAAATGCATGGTGGGGCGCCTGGGTGGCTCAGTTGGTTAAGCGTCCGACTTCAGCTCAGGTCACGATCTCGCGGTCCGTGAGTTCGAGCCCAGCGACCGAGGCTCTGGAGGCTGATGGCTCAGAGCCTGGAGCCTGCTTCTGACTCTGTGTCTCCCTCTCTCTCTGCCCCTCCCCCGTTCATGCTCTGTCTCTCTCTGTCTCAAAAATAAATAAACGTTAAAAAAAATTAAAAAAAAAAAAGAAATCAATGCATGGTTGCGAAAATGCAACTTTATATATAGGAAAAGGAATGATGCCTGTGCAATTAAGGTCCCTGATCACTGACCTGGGTTATTGCTGGTACCCCTTCATATCTTTTCCGTGTAAAGCACTGTGAAATCGGGTCAGCAGCTTTTTCCACTGTTGTTTCTTCTGGATCGAGTTTCGGTGGTAGCATCTTATCCCAAGGAACAACTTCATAAGCTCTGTGAAATTAAATAATTATATTTTATGAAAAATGCATATTGCAATTGGTATGAGTCATCGTGGTCTCATGGCAAGCAGGTAATTCTAAGGTGTCCCCCAAGATTCCTGCCCCCCAGGGGTACATGTCATATATAACTACCTCCCGTCTGGCTTGGGCAGAGCGGGTAAGTATGACAAGAGGTCACTCCTGCGATACTTTGTATGGCAACTTTATATGGAAAAGGGATTGTGCCCATGTGATTAAGGCCCCTAACTGGTTGACTTTGAGTGAATCCAAAGGTGGGCTTTCCTAAGTAGGTCTGACCTAAACAGGTGCCCCTTAAAAAGAGACAAGAACACACCAGACACTCTTCAGCTGTCCTTGAAGACACATCTCACGAGCCCAGCAGCTGGAACGAATGGAATTCTGCCAACAATCTCAGTGCTCCTGGGAGACAAGGATCCAGCCCCCGCTGACTCCCCAATTCTAGCCTGAGAAACCCCAAGTCTTGAACCCCACTGGGGCACGCTTACATTCTGACCACAGTCTTGTGGTCTAACGCTGATATGTGTGTGGTCATCTGCTACACAGCAGTGGAAAACCAATGCACCTATTTATATACATCTTATAGTTGACAAAAAAGAAAAATCATTTGACCTTCGCAGCAGGGCCGAAAGACCATTAACTGACAAATAAACAAACGATGGCTTAGAGAATGGAATTTGTTTGCTTAAGGTCGCTCAGCTACTGGTGGTGGACGTCAGGAGGCAAATGCAAATTACCCGCCTCTGAAGAGGGAGCCACGTTCCCGTTGTCCCACCACACCAATGGTACAAGGAGTCCAGCCATCTTAGTAAGTGCGAGGATTGTACACGTAGGATTTGGATCTAAAGGTACCATCTTTAGATGGTATTTCAAGTTTTGAAAGTTCTGCTCTTTTTGACAGATATACATGACCGATGCAGTGAAATAGACTCCAAACAAATATTTACTTGGAAATTACTATATTTCAAGCACTGTGCTAGGTGCTTGGGATAAAAGAGCAGATAAGAAACAACATACAGGGGCTCCTGGGTGGCTCAGTCTGTTAAGTGTCTGACTCCGGCTCAGGTCATGATCTCACAGTTCATGGGTTCAAGCCCCATGTCAGGCTCTGAGCCATCAGCCCAGAGCCCAACGCGGGGCTCGAACTCACGGACCGCGAGATCGTGACCTGGCTGAAGTCGGACGCTTAACCGACTGCGCCACCCAGGCGCCCCTAAAAAATGTTTTTAAAAAAATACACAACATACAAATTATATTTGCCACCTAGGAGTGATGTGAGGATTCAATAAATTAATATCTGTGAAGTCAGACAGCACAGTGATGGCTCCACAGTGTGTTTGTTGGCGTGTATGTTTTCAACTCACCCAGTCCGAAAATTCCCGAAGGAAATCTAACTCTCATGAAATATTTTTAGTTGTAGCAAAAGCTTAAATGGTGCACTTTTCTGAACAATATCTGGATAGTGTAGTCAGAAATTAACCTGAGTTGAATTGAGTCTTCAAAGATGCATCTCGGTTTGAGGCTCTGATACATTTCATGAATACTTTATGGAGTTTTCCATACAGGGTACAAAAGTTTTTTTTTCCTAAGAAAACTTTTATATGACATATTTTGTTCCTTTTATTTTTTAAATGTTTATTTATTTTGAGAGAGAGTGCAGGAGAGAGTGGGGGAGGGGCAGAGAGAGAGAGAGAGAGAGAGAGAGAGAAACAGAATCCCAAGCAGGCTCTGGACTGTCAGCACAGAGCCTGATGTAGGGCTCAATCTCATCAACTGTGAGACTATGACCTAAGCTGAAATCAAGAGTTGGATGCTCAACCAACTGAGCCACCCAGGAGCCCCCAATATATTTTAAAAGAGATTATCAAATAGAATGATTTAAAAACAAAAGAAAGAAACAAACATAAAAAAAATTCTGAATAAAGCATCACAAATTTAGCCAAATCATTAACTGTTTCTCAAAAGACCACTGGAACTTTTTCTGATAGAAACCAAGATGAGAATACAGTAAGGGAAGAGCGCCTGGGTGGCTCAGTTGGTTGAGCAGGTGAGCATCAGACTTCGGGTCAGGTCATGATCTCTTGGTCTGTGAGTTCAAGCCCCGCATTGGGCTCTGTGCTGACAGCTCAGAGCCTGGAGCCTGCTTCGGATTCTGTGTCTCCCTCTCTCTCTGCCCCTACCCGCCCCCTCAAAAATAAATAAACATTCAAAAAAATACAATAGGGGATAAAATCAAAAGCCAGAGAGGAAATCAGAGGCCATTTAGTTATAATCCTTCATTTTTAAGATGAGAAACTTGAGGGCCCAAAAGACTGCAGGCTGCCAAAGCCCCAGAGATGGCAGGTAGAACCGGGGATCTCACCAACGGCCCCCAGGCTGTCGACATCTTCTCCAGAGCTCTTTTCTCAACTTGCTCTATGGTTCCGGAATCCAGCTCCATATCATGTATTTCTTCTTTTTTTCAATGTCAATGAAGTTTACTTGGCTTTTTTGAGTAGTGCTCTTAAAGCATCGCAGCTTGGTAAACAGTATAAATTAGTACGGGCATCTTCATTAGAACAGTCATACGAATTAGTACAGTCATTTGTTTTCTCATGAGTTGCTAAAAAGATGCAGCCTATTTTTTTTTAACGTTTATTTTAATTTTGGGAGGCTGAGAGAGAGAGAGAGAGAGAGAATGAACAGGGGAGGGGCAGAGAGAGAGGAGACACAGAATCCGAAGCAAGCTTCGGGCTAGCTGTCAGCACAGAGCCCGACATGGGGCTTGAACCCACGAGCTGTGAGATCATGACCTGAGCCGAAGTCAGACACTTGACCGACCAAGCCACCCAGGTGCCCCAAGATGCAGCCTATTCTAACAGGATAAATATTTTTACCACTTGGCGTTAATGAAAGCTCATACACGAACAACGTTCTTCGTAAGGAAAATAAGAAGCTGTGGCCGAGACACCAATGAAAAGAACTGTGTGGAAATGAAGGTTCCCGTACTTTTTGAAGCCTTTTTACAATGGGGAGACAATGCACGCAATCTTGTTGCAAACTTGCCATACAGACTTGTAGCGATTTTGCTGACTCATTATCTGTTGTAGGCTGAAATAGGGGTTAGAACGAAAATCATCCCTAATTAAAAACTGGCACTGTTCACAGAAAAAAAAAAAAAAAAGTAGGATTTTGCCTTTGAATCTGCAAATGTATGTTCAAATCGAATTTGCCTCTCCTCCCCCAGCTCAGCCGCAAAACGGGCTTGAAGTAACATTCTTTACAAAGCCTTCATTTTCAACTCGATGCAAGCTAAGCAAAGATGATTGAAACCCAAGCTTGCACAACGGACGGGTATCTCCCAGAACATTTCTTAGGCACAAAACACACAAGAGGAAGGGCTACTCGGTGACATTTGCATGAACAAAATGGCATCATGTTCGTCAACAAATACCCAATGCTGTTTTCTTCTGCTAACAAGAGTTGCAGAGAAAGAGAGAGAGAGAGAGAGAAAGAATGATTCCTATTTTGATCCCACGTTTCTTATATACTCTTTATATTTTTATAAGCTGCCTGGGAAAATATCCGATCATATGTATATTTCATGAACCTGTTGGGTGCTGGGTGTGCCGTCGGTAGGAAAAAATACATGACTGGAGTCTACCTTGCGTCAGTGGGGTTCAGCACAGTGTCGGGAGGGAGGAGAGGTTGGGGGGGCGGGTGGAGTGCTTTGCCGGGTGCACACACATCCTTATCGCTTCTCCACTCTCTGTGGCCCTGCTGACTTCAAAAAGCCCACTGGGCAATTGCAATCACCCTTCAATAGTGCTCATCGTGCTTGTGGCCATTTCTTGGTTTCCTCCCTACCCCTTCGTGCCTGCCAGTTCCACACCTGTCTCTAGGCCGCATTTAACACACACACACACACACACACACACACACACACACACACACACACACACTTATTTCTCTAGCTTGGACCTTTCTCCCAAACCCCAGACCCGCACACTCCACTGCCTACTTGCCATAGCCACTTGGATGTCTCATGAACATCTTTGAGCTCTTCTAAATAAACTTCTGACCTTTCCCTCCAGACCATGCTTCAGCAGTGTTGAAGGAATAGCCAATCAATCTCAGATCCATCCGGCTGTAATATGCAAAACCTTGGGGTGTTCTTGACTCCTATTTCCCTGACACTCCCTGACCTCCAATGTGGACATTGTGTAATAGGCTCTACTTTTAAAACACATCCAGGTGGGGCGCCTGGGTGGCGCAGTCGGTTAAGCGTCCGACTTCAACCAGGTCGCGATCTCACAGTCGATTGATTCGAGGCAGCGTCAGACTCTGGGCTGATGGCTCGAAACCTGGGAATTTCGATTCTATGTCTCCCTCTCTCTCTGCCCCTCGCCCGTTCATACTCTGCTCTCTCTGTCCCAAAAATAAATAAACGTTGAAAAAAAAAAATAAAAAAAATAAAAAAAATAAAACACATCCAGGAGCCAGCCACGGCTGACACCTTCCTACCACCTTCCCAACGAGCTGCCCTTACCCGACCTCTAGAGATGCCTCCCAATTCTCCCTGACCCAATCAGTTGGCTGGGACTGGCCAGCCACCATGTTGTTCTATACCAAGTCTGTTGATCTTACCCTTCTCTGCTAGACCTTCACTTCCCTCACAGATAAAGCCCTGGTGTTTACAGTTGGTTAAAATGTCGGGGTGCCTGGCTGGCTCAGTCGGTTAAGCATCCGACTTCAGCTCAGGTCATGATCTCACAGTCTGTGAGTTCGAGCCCCGGGCCAGGCTCTGTGCTGAAAGCTCAGAGCCTGGAACCTGCTTTGGATTCTGTGTCTGCCCCTCCCCTGCTCATGTTCTGTCTCTCTCTGTCTCAAAAATAAATAAAAACATTAAAAATTAAAAAAAAATGCCCCTGGACATCAGCTTCTGGGCACTCCCTGCTTTTTGCCATCTTCTCTTCCTAATGTCCCCCTTACTCTGTTCCAGGTACCCTAGCCCCCCTCTCTTCCCTGACCCTATGCACATTTCCGACACAGGCTTTCCAAACGGCTGTATATTCCCTCTGCCTGGAAAATGCTCGTTCCAGACATCTGCAAGTCAGTCCCTTAGGTCTTCTGAGCTGCTCTCAAACCCCATCACTTAAGGAGCCCCCCCTCCCCACATCCTATTCACTACGGAAGCCTACCGTCCATACACAGGACGCTCCAGATGCTTCTTCCCATTCTACCTTTTCTCTTCTATGTTTCCACAGCCTCATCATCTTCTAGGATATGAGCTATTTATGTGTTATGTCTGTCCTTATTGTCCGTCTGCCTTTAGAATGAGAGCTCTTTGAGAGCAGAGATCTCTGTCCGCCTTATTCCCTGACGAACCTCACAGCCTAAGGCACAGACACATCGCAAAAGCTGAATATGGTTTCTGACTGCGTAAATGAACCCCTTCAGGCTTTCTCTGCTCTTGTTTTCTATGATGCTGTACTCTTATCTCCTCCTCTCACTGACCATTTCTTTTATGTTTTGGTTTTATGCTTCTATTACCCGTAGATTTTCTTTAAGACTCTCCCTTGACCTGTTTTATTTCAGCCATCAGTGTGAGTAAATATCTGTGCCTGATGTTTTCTGAATTACTCACAGCATCCAGGACATTGTGGACACAAAGGGGGATGTGTCACAAAAGATGAAAGAAATACCTTATTTTTAATTTTAATTTTGTTATTTTAGAGAGAGAGAGTAGGGGGAGGGGCACAGGGAGAGAGAGAGAGAGAAAGAGAGAATCCCAAGCAGGCTCTGTGCTGAGCGCGGGGCCTGACTCGGGGCTCGATCCTACAACCCTGGGATCATGACCTGAGCCAAAATCAAGAGTCAGGCACTCAACCGACTGAGCCACCCAGGTGCCCCAGAAGAAATACGTTTTTAAATCAAAACTCTACTGGGAAAAATGCTTACTTTTGTGTCGAGGACTTGTAAAATGAGTCCTTCGCGTTATATTTCCTGTTTGGCTGTAAAAGTGATTCTCCATCCTCCTAGAAGGTGTGAATAATAAGTGAAAGGAGATCAGATACACATGGGAATTGCTAATGTTTTCTACAACCATGCTTTCTTTTTTCCTTGTTCTCCATTTTTCTCCTTTCATAGCACCCCTTCCACAGACCAGGCTTAATGCTTCCCTACTTTCTTCAATTGTCTTGGAAACTTACTTTCTATGTATGGTCTCCTAAGTGATTAAGTTAAAATTTACAACATGTGTATTCAAGTTAATGGAAAGTCACATCTTTATGAGAAAGCTCTTGAATTTTAAATGCTGGCAAATGATGTTTTTAGCACCATGTAAATAAAACATCTTAAAAAGTCTAGGGGCGCCTGGGTGGCTCAGTCAGTTAAGCGTCTGACTTCGGCTCTGGTCATGATGTCATGATTCATGAGTTAGAGCGCAAAGCTTGCTTTGGATTCTGTGTCTCCCCCTCTCCCTGCGCCTCCCCCACTTATGCTCTGTCTCTCTCAAAAATAAACATTCAAAAAAAACTTTTTTAA